CCTGTTATTTATAGACGCCTCTCTGTCCGTCCTGACTGTTGATGTTTGTTCTGTTTTTGTCCTGAGGTCTGTCAGAGCACTTTGTAGACATCTGATTTTAAAGATGTGTTGTTCAGATGTTCACATGTTTTAAATCAGTGTTTCTCAACTGGTCTAGTCTCAAGACTCAACACGACCTCCTTCATGAGAAATCGAGACCCAAATCATTTTTCAGCCACAGAGATTAATTCATTAAAGAAAAGTTCAGTTCGAACCTCAGCAGAAACAAATAGAAGAACAATAACAAACATGTTTTAGAAGTGCATCATAGATTTTTTTGCAACCATTTTTTTTTCAGCATTTGCGACCCACTGAAAAGGGCTCCACGACCCGGTTTTGGGTCCCAACCCACCAGTTGAGAACCACAGTTTTAAAATAAGGATTTAACCCGTTTCTTTTTCTGCATTCTTTACATTGAAAGTTTAAAGTGTTGTGACGAAATGTGAATCCAGATTTAGATTCTGTGACTCTTAAATGAATAACGTGTCCTTCACATTAGAAACGCTGATGCTCAGTCCAGTCGTCTGATCGGTGAGTCTCAGCTCTTCCCAGCGTCCCTGTATACTTGACTCTAACAGCTGAAAGCGACCTCCATTTTTAACCATGACTCCCGTCCTTTGCACACTGACGTTCAGCCAAAGGATTTTAGTCCTGAGGTACAAAAATATCTTTGTTCCTGCTGCTGACTAAACTGAACGAGCTGCAGTGAGATTTGCACAAACACATGCATTTATTATTTGATGTCCAACCTATTCTTATCCTGCCTGAAGAGATGATGTATTTATTTTTATTGAGACTTCTCTCTCCTCTGTGCCCTGATTGGTGGAGCCTCAAGCTCTTTTATCATTTTTAAAAATATTTTTTGTTTTAGTCGGTTGTAAATTGTTTTCCTTCTCTCTTATGTGTTGTCTCTTGTCACATCTGTTTTGTAATCTGTGTGTCAGGATGGATGTCATCGTGCTGGCTGCAAACAAATAAAGTAACCTGAACCAGAACCTGACCCTGAACCTGAACCATGACCTCCTGACAGACATCTGTGGTTATAGGTGAGGATCTGTATGATTATTAACAGATAATGTAGTATGTACATGCACGTTATGACTGTCAGTGTTTGGATTTCAGGGGTTTAAAGGTCACATATCCTCTTCAGTGTAAATAAGTGTCAGAACTCCTCATATTTTATCAGAGTGTTTGTGAAAGAAAAAAAAAAGTCAACGGATGAAACAAGAACATGCATTTTAAAGTTCATCTTATGACTGTTTAGTATTTAAAGTAAATCTAACATGCTCAGAATTCATCCTTCGACTTCTTTTCCTCGTCCCCGTTGACCAGTTTGGAGGAGATGTCGGTGATGCTGAACTCGACCCCCTCCGGCGCTCTGGACCTGCTGCTGAGCGTCGGTAACAGCAGCTCCACGCTGACAGGGGGCGCTGTGGCGGTGTCCAAAGAAAGCTTCTCCAGCACTCTCACCAAGAACATTGTGGCCATGCTGGTATGGCTGACCCTCAGCATCATCAACGGCAGCATGGTGCACACCTTCCTCAGACACAGGTACACACACACACTCTCACACACACACACACACACACACACACACACACACACACACACAAACTTTTTCCTGTTGTAAATGTTGTGAAGTCTGTTTCTTGTGTTCCTCTCTGACGTCAGTCTGTTCTTCGAGAACCCTCGTTACATCATGTTCATCTGCATGGTGATCAACGACGCCCTGCAGCTCACCCTGGTGACCGCTCTGTACGTGCTCAGCTACATCTTCAGGAAGATCCACGCCTCCGTCTGCGGCCTGCTGGTGAGTCCCACACTGCAGCCGCTCCGTGCACACCGAGAAGAGAATCTGATCCTCCAGAATCCTGACTCTGTGAAGTTTAACCTTCAGGGTCCTCAAATGTTTGAGCAGTAAGTCAGAGAAGAAAGAAGGATCCTGTTTCTGCAGACTCGAGTCAGGCAGAAGATTCTTCTTTATTGGAGAAGAGTGATTCACTCATCATGAATGCACCTTTGCATGGTCTAAAGATTTCTGTGCTTTTTACATTTTATTCCAGGCTGATGTAATCTTGATATCTTGCAGCACCTTCTTCTTCTAGAAACATTGCAAAAACTCAGATCGCTGCAACTTTATTTCTCTAATTTCTTGTCAAAAATATCTTATTACTCGTATTTTAGGAACACTTTAACTGGAAAGGCTCAGATAAAAACTTAACTTGAGCAGGAATTTGTTGATTATAAGCGGCCTTATTGTTGCTTCATGTAGTTAGAGTTTTATCTGGACTTAAAGGCTTTATATGTGATTTTTTGATCCAGCAGATGTCGCCCTTGAGCACCAGCATGAAACCAAAACAACTCGCGCTGCATTGTTGTGTTAGCATGCTAATGCTAGTGATCTTTATTCTGCTGGTATCTTCACACTGCATGTAAATTTACCTGAAATGAGCGTGATCTAGAAACACAGTTAAGCAGTGAGTACAGTATGTTATTCTTCTTTTCTCTAGTCCCTCAATTAAACAACTTTTATACACGAGGGGAGGAGTCAGCCGGTCGTCCTGGCGATGTAAACAAAGTGAAGATAGGACTCTGAAAACTCTGAAAACATCACAGACAGTGGGACTCGGGTGTTACACCCATTGTAGACAGTCATGACTCACAGAGTTATTTTCAGAGGATAAACTTGATTTCTACATTTAAGTGTGAAACATCACAAATAAAGACTTTAAGAGGTGAATTTCTGTAAAGAAAAACAAGTTACCACTTTGTCCACAGGGGGCGCCGAGTCGACGCTGGTCCAGATGTTTCAGCAGCTGAAGCCTGAATAATAACAATGATCCTACTTTTCATCCTTCTGTGTCCTCTACATGTGACTCCGCCCCTCTGATCAGATCATGACGGCCGTCCTCACCACCCGCTCCACGCCTCTCATCCTGGCCGGCATGGCGGTGGAGCGCTACATCGCCATCTGCTTCCCCTTACATTACGGCCACATGTGCACCGTCCCCCGCACCCTCCTCCTCATCGGGGTCATCCTCGTCCTCACGGCCACGCCGCCGCTCACCGACCTCCTCATCACCATCGTCCACGAGCCCCCGAGCTTCTTCCACAACGCCATCTTCTGTGACCACCCGCTCCTGTTCCGCCACCGCTCCGTCTACTACAAGAACTGCGTGTTTGACGGCGTCTACCTGTCCTTCGTCGCCCTCGCGCTGCTCTACACCTACTGCAAGATCATGCTGACCGCCCACGCCGTCTCCACCGGGCTCGCCTCCGTGAAGCGAGCCAGGAACACGGTGCTGCTGCACGGCGCGCAGGTGGGTATTTCTACACCGTTATCATGTTGGGTTAAGAAATGCCAAACTGAAAATGATTCAGGATGTGAGGAATGTGTGACATCGTTCCCCGTTTTGCGTTCCAGCTGCTGCTGTGCATGCTGGCGTTCGTGGTCCCCTCCCTGCAGGCCGCTCTCATCTCTCTCTTCCCGCGCTTCAGCGTGGAGATCCGTTACATCTTCTTCCTGGTTGTCTACATCATCCCTCGCTTCCTGAGCCCGGTCATTTACGGCTTCAGGGACGAGCTGTTCAGGAAGTACTGGACCCGGTACCTGACCTGCGGGAGCCGGAGTGTGGTCAGGGTCCACCCGGGGTTACCGAAGGTCAACCTGTAGCTGGATCAGCACGCGGACCGTTTGAGACCGCTGAGTTTGTTTTGGTTTGCACGTTTGGACTCATGCAGAGGAGGGATGAAGTGTTTACAGTTTATTAGAATAAAACATTTATCACAGTCAGTCGGCTTTTTGAGTTTTCTCTAAAAGAAGAGACACCACAGGAGAGCCGACTCTGACTGTGGATGTTGTCAGATTTTTATATAAAGTGCCTAAAACTAAGTAATGAGTGCGCTGTGATGATCTTATCAAGGCTTCACCCAGACCTCACACACACACACCCCATAATAACATGTCCGCTAGGTAGAGACGACATTATCAATATGGTGGCAGCCATTGATCCTCTTCAAATCTCCCCTTCAGTAACCAATGGGTGACGTCACAGAGACTACGTCCATGTTTCATACAGTCTAGTTTAAATCTCAGACAAATAATCTGTCTTGCTGTGCGGTTTGTTTTCCATGTGTGACCCATGGAGGAGAGAAGGACACACAAGGTAAATCCACACACACCCAGGGTGGACGAGCTAAGCTAGCTTAGTTTAGCGATCTATCTAGCTCGACGGGCCTTTTGGTGGATTTTGACGTTTATTCACAAAATATGAAAAGTTTCATTTTGCAGGATGTTGAGCTTTTGAAAACAAACCGCACAGCAAGGCGGATTATTTGTCTGAGATTTACTGTGGACTGTATGAAACATGGACGTAGTCTCTGTGACGTCACCCATTGGTTACTGAAGGGGAGATTTGAAGCCAAACAATGGCGGCCACCATTTTAATAATGCCGTCTCAGTCTAACATTAGAAATCTAGAAAAGAGACAAAGAGTTACAAACAGCTCCAACATGCCCACGTTCAGTCCGATCAGAACTTTGACCTTTCATGAAATCAAAACAGACGAGTTACAAATATTCACGCCGTCACACAAACACCCAGACTTAAAGTCTCTTCTTACCGCAGACAAAAAAAACACGTTTTCAGCCTGGTACAGAATAACGTTTAGTCTGTATAGATCTTTATGATCACACACTTTTGATGTATGACGGATGAAAGTTTGTCTAAATGATGGTGGGTCGATGTTCTGACTGGGGAGCGGGCGTGTCACAGTTCAGTCGTGTTATCGGGTTATCGTGTACTCTATGACATCATCGAGCTCCGCTGCACGCTGTAGTGAATATAATGATGGTTAAGAAGTTTGTTTTACAGACACTGACTCAAACTTTCACCCAAGACAGTTCTTTTATTTTTGAGATAATGATGTCACACCCGCCCCCCCTCCCCTCCCCCCTCCTGATCGTCTCGTCTCATTAAACGTCTGAAATCTATAAAACTTTATCTCCTCCTGATCGTCTCATTACTCACAGACGTCTGAACCCAGAGCAGACCAGAGAGAAAGCTGTGGATGTAAGTCTGACTTTTGTTTATGACACACACACACACACACACACACACACACACACACACACACACACACACAGATGTTCTGTATTGATCCCAAACTGGTACATTGTGTTTTTTTACAGCAGCAGGCGCCCTAAAGAAATGTAAAGAATACAATTTAGCTTATTATTACATCTAAATCTCAAATTTGAAATGAACTAATTAGTCAAGATGGATGACTGAATGTTGAATAGTTGCTGCTGATAACATGTCTACACTCATGCACTTCTGTATCACTGACTGCACAGCTCCCTATGTCAATACATTTACATCTACCTCCAGCAAAGTATGTCGTATTTAATCTTTTCATATTTAAGACTAGTAATGCTAAGTTAAATCCTGGTTGTATATATTTTCATTCTTAGTTTTGATATTTTTAGTGCTTATTTACTTTGTATTTAATATTATATTGTGTTTATTTGCTCATATTGTGTGTTGGATAACCTGCTGCTGTAAGGCCACAACTTCCCAGTTTGGGATCAATAAAGTAATTCTATTCTATTCTATTCTATTCTATTCTATTCTATATACTTTGCTGGAGGGTAGAGGTGTAAATGTGCACATCCAGTGATCACAGGAGCAGAGCAGGTCACAGTCTGAAGAGAGAGAGAGACGATCAGGGCGAGCTGTCAGGGTCTCTGCTCTGATGAAGTCTGTGTGAACGCTGCGTGTAGAGAAGAGGATCTTCTAATGTGAAAATGTGAAGTGACAGGAAAATGTTTTTTTTTAATCCCAGATATCATCAAAGACACGAGGATCGGAGAAACATGTGTGATGCTTTTCTGACTCGGAGTAGAAATGATAAAAGAGTTCATCTGAACGTCTCCAGGATCCAGACGTCCTTTAATCTGAAGATATCTCTAATGTATATCTGTAAGAGTTTGATTTAAACATGTGATGAAAAAGGAACACCTTCAAAGTCCGTCAGTATTTGATGAAGTTATACTTTTTATTCTGCATATTTGAGTGATTATTAACGGGACATATTTTAATATTTAACACAATATTCCTGCAGAACTTTTTGTGTGAAACTTTATTTTGTTTGAGTTGTTGTGCTAAATCAGAAGTCAGCAGCGCCTCTATTTGTTGAGGAAACTTAGAAGTCTGAATGTCAACAGCGTTATGTTGATGTTATTTTACAAGAGTTTCATTGAACGTGTGTTGAACTTTTGACCTTTTGTCATCAGTGTTGGGGGTTGTTAAACGACCTCTTACTTCAGACCCTCTGCCCCCCCTTCTGGTCTGTCTCACTTCCATCTCAGCCTCACATTAGTTTACCTGTTGATTTTATTTGTTTTAATTCTTTACTGACTTTGACCTCCATGTTTGCACTTTGACCTTCATGTTTGCACTTTGACCTCCATGTGTGCATTTTGACCTCCATGTTTGCACTTTGACCTCCATGTGTGCATTTTGACCTCCATGTTTGCACTTTGACCTCCATGTTTGCATTTTGACCTCCATGTTTGCATTTTGACCTCCATGTTTGCACTTTGACCTCCATGTTTGCATTTTGACCTCCATGTGTGCATTTTGACCTCCATGTTTGCACTTTGACCTCCATGTGTGCATTTTGACCTCCATGTGTGCACTTTGACCTCCATGTGTGCACTTTGACCTCCATGTGTGCACTTTGACCTCCATGTGTGCACTTTGACCTCCATGTTTGCACTTTGACCTCCATGTTTGTCAGCAGCTTTAAGGTGTGAGCAGGTCCACCATGAACTCGTCTGGTCGTCAGGAAAGCTTCAGTGTCGTCTTCTTAAAGAACTTCTTCACCTTCACTGTCGGCTTCGTCATCAACTGCATCAACGGAGTGTTTGTCTACACCTACTTTAAGAACCAGGTGTTCCAGAGAGACCCCAGGTGAGACATCGGCTCCTCGTTTCTGTTTCAGGATGACACTCGACCCAGACTTTTTGATTTTGAATACTGTGATTGTGTAAGGTCTCAAAACAACCAGCCTGCCTCTCCTTTAATGTCTCTTTCTCCTGCCTTTCTCTCCTCTCTTCTGTCCTTTCTTCCTCTCCTCTCGTCTCCTGTGTCCTTCCTTCCTTTCCTTCCCTGTATCATTCCTTCCTCCCCTCCCCTTCTCTCCTCTTCCTCTCCTCTCCTCTCCTCTCTCTCCTCTCCTCTCCTGTCCTCTCTCTTCTCTTCCCCTCTCCTCTCCTCTCCGTTTCCGTTTCCGGTTTCCGGTTTCCGGTGAGTGTGAGTGTGAGTGTGAGTGACGGTGGTGGTGTTGCGAGTGGCGCGGAGATTGAATTGTTTGCTATCCTTTCTACTGTTTTCAAAGTGCATGATCAGGTCAGATTGTTTTCATATTTGTATTGAGTGTTGTTGGCTGTGTAAGACAGATCGTTGGAGGGGTTGGAGGGAGGAATGGCGTCTGCTGAGACGCCACCTCCGACTCTCCGACAGGGAGTTCCGATAGTCCCTCCGAACGGTACTGTCACCGTGGAGGAGGTTCTGTTAGCTGCAGGTGAACAGGTAGGCCATGATAAACTCTTGTATGCATCCCGAATGAACAAGGCTGTGGTTGTTTTTCTGAAGAGTCAGCCTCTTGTGTATCAGCTGATTGAGAGTGGTGTGTTCATTAGGGATTTGTTTGTGCAGGTTTCCCCGTTGTCGGTTCCCTCTACGCGGATCACCGTATCCGGTGTTCCGCCGTTTATTTCTAACAACTTGTTAGAGAACGAACTCCGCAGGTTTGGGAAGTTTGCGAGTGGTTTCAAAACTGTGAGTCTAGGGTGTAAAGATCCCAAACTGAAACATGTTCAATCTTTGCGGCGTCAGGTGTTCATGTTTTTGGATTCGCCCACACAGACTCTGGAGGTTTCCTTTAGAGTTAAACACGGTGACGCTTCTTATATGGTGTATGCGAGCTTGGGACAACTGAAGTGTTTTGAGTGTGGTGATGTGGGACACAAACGTTTTGCGTGTCCGCACAGACAGCAGGAGGCGGCTAGTGCTGCCGCTGACGCGGGCGGCTCTGTTAGTGTGGCGCATGTGGCGGGGGCCGCGACCGCGTCCGCGTCCGCGCCCGGGGCGGGGGCCGCGTCCGCGCCCGGGGCGGAGGCCGCGTCCGCGTCCGCGTCCGCGTCCGCCCGGGGCGGGGCCGCGTCCGTGCCCGGCAGAGGCCGCGTCCGCGCCTGCGCCTTGTGCTGAGGCCGTGGCTGAGGTAGAAGTGGCTTCGACCAGCTCTCAGGCTACAGAAAAATCACAGACTGTAGATAATGATAAAACTGAAGATTCCACAAGTTCTGCAGTTGTAGATGTTTCATTGAAGGAAGGTAAGACAGTGTGTTGTAGCCAGGCATCATGTGAAGGAGAGGACATGGATGAAGATTATGAGTCAGACAATGCATCCATTGCTGATTTGCCAAATAGTGGCTCTGGTCTTTATTCTTTAGAGTCAATCAATCAATTTATGGATGAAACGTACAACAAATCAGTAAAAATCAGTGACTACTTTAGTGATACTGAAAAGTTCATAAAGTCAGTCAGCATACTGAAAAGACAGGTTGGGTTTGACCTCCTGGACGCGAAAAAACGGTTCCGTCTTAAAAAGCACATCACCGCACTGAGGAAAGTTGGACGTAAGAGTGTGAAGAAGACAAAGAAATGATCATGCATCACAAGGTGTTTTTCTTCTTCTACTGTCCCTGTTTGTGTCTACTTATCTGTTCTTTCTCTCTGATCTTTCTATGAGGAGTCTTAAGATAGGATCTCTTAACATTAATGGTGGGAGAGACAGACAGAAAAGGGGCCTTATCTCTGAGATCTCAACTCAGAAAAACATTGATATCTTGTTTTTACAAGAGACTCATACCACACCATCAGATGAGACAGATTGGGGTTTATGGTGGGAGGGCTCTAACTACCTTAGCCATGGCACCAACTTAGTGCAGGAGTAGCCATTTTGTTTAGAGCATCTGCAAATGTAAAGATCGTCTCTTGTGCTGAAATTGTAAAGGGAAGGCTTTTAATTGTAAGAGCAGAAATAGAGGACACTGTTTTCTGCTTCACTAATATTTATGCTCCAAATAATGGAGCTGAAAGGGTAGCTTTCTATACCCGCCTCCAAAAGGAGTTACTGATCTATAATCAGGATCAGATCATTCTTGGTGGTGATTTTAACTGCACACTTGATTTCACCGTGGATAGAATAGGAGAGGAGCCACATCCACATTCATCCCAGACTTTAAACACTGTCATCTCTCACCTGGATTTGTTGGACACATTTAGAGTGAAACATCCACAATCCAGACAGTATACATGGGTCAGGGTTAACAGTAACAGGGTGTGTGCAGCTAGACTGGACAGGGTTTACATCTCCAGAACTCTCAACCCCAGATTAATTCATTGTAATATTCTGCCTGTCGGCTTCACTGATCACCATTTTGTTAGTGTGGAGCTGATTATTTCACCAGGTGAAAGGGCTAAGTCCTTCTGGCATTTTAATAACAAGCTTCTACTGGACAATGTTTTCTGTAAAAACTTTGGGTGTTTTTGGGATCAGTGGCAATTAAGAAAAGTTGAGTTTGATTCTTTGAAGCTTTGGTGGGAGGTTGGTAAAGCTCAGATTCGTGTTTTTTGTCAGCAGTACACGTCACACTCTTCTGCTAGATTAAAAACAGTCATTAAAAATCTTGAGGACAACATTAAGAACCTTGAGGAGGGGTTAAATGGGAGTGTGGATCCCACCGCTGGTACCCTGCTGAAGGAGAAACGTATGGAGTTGAGCTCTTTCCTGCAGGAGAGGGTGAAGGGAGCTCTTGTGCGGAGTCGTTTCCTTCAACTCAAAGACATGGATGCCCCAACGTCTTTCTTTTTCAATCTTGAGAGATCTGTGGCTCAAAAAAAGCTGCTGACTTGTCTGAAACTGCCAGGAGGTCGAATAACAGCTGATCCAAAGGAAATGAGCAGTCACGCCATGCAGTTCTATGAGGATCTGTTTGGAGCAGAGAGTTGCAGCCAGGAGTGTCGCAGGGAGCTCCTGGAGGGTCTCCCTCAGCTCAGTGTGGAGGAGAGGTCTCTTCTGGAAGGGGAGCTGTCTCTGGAGGAGCTCACTGCTGCTGTCACTCAGATGGCAACAGGAAGAGCACCTGGAATAGATGGGTTGTCCACAGACTTTTTTAAGAGGTTCTGGAATATTCTTGGGTCTGACCTGCATAGTGTTTTAATGGAGTGTTGCAGGACCGGGTCTCTTCCTGGTTCTTGTAAGAGAGCAGTTCTTTCCTTGCTCCCCAAGAAAGGTGACCTGGCATTGTTAAAAAACTGGAGGCCGGTTGCTTTGCTTTGTGCGGACTACAAGATCCTCTCCAGAGCTTTATCGAACAGACTAAAGGACGTTCTGGGAAGTGTGGTCCATAAAGACCAGAGTTACTGTGTTCCAGACCGGACAATCATGGATAATGTTTTTCTTATCAGAGATGTCATTGATGTGTGTAAAATCTATAATCTAAATGTTGGCATTGTGTCTCTGGATCAAGAGAAGGCGTTTGACAGGGTGGATCACTCGTATTTGTTTTCTGCACTGAGGTCTTTTGGTTTTGGGGATGGTTTTGTGTCATTAGTTGGTTTGTTGTATCAGGATGCACAGTGTTTGGTGAAGATGGGGGCGGGGTTGAGTCGGCCAATCCCTGTACGGCGAGGGATCAGACAAGGTTGTCCCATCTCCGGCCAGCTGTACAGCTTGGCTATTGAGCCCTTGCTGTGCAGGTTGAGGGACCGGCTCAGCGGGCTTTCTTTGCCCGCGGCCTGTAGCATTGAATGTCCCCCTACAATTTCTGCCTATGCTGATGATGTAAACATCTTCATCTCCAATCAGGGGGACGTTCGGTGTCTGCGGGACACCCTGTCCCTGTATGAAAGGGCAACAGCTGCACGGGTGAACTGGGAAAAAAGTGGTGCCTTATTGGTGGGAGAGTGGAGGGACCAGGCAGTGCCCAGTCTGCCGGTGGACTTGAGTGGGGGAGGGAGGGGTTGAAGGTGTTGGGGGTTTATTTGGGTACCGAGGGCTTTAAAAGTAAAAACTGGGAGGGAGTTAGGGAGAAAGTGTGCGCTCGGTTGTCTAAATGGAAATGGTTGCTACCCCAGTTGTCGTATAGGGGAAGAGTTCTGGTGGTCAATAACTTGGTTGCCTCGACTCTCTGGCACAGACTTGTGGCTTTGACACCTCCAAGAGGGCTGGTGGAGGACATTCAAAGGGCCATCCTGGACTTCTTCTGGTCAGGCAAACACTGGGTCCAGGCGGCAGTCCTCTACCTGCCGGTGGCTGAAGGGGGACATGGACTTATAGACATTCAGTCAAAAATTGCCTCATTCAGACTCCAGACTGCACAGAGACTCCTTTTCACTTGTGGTCCCAGCTGGATGGACATCGCTCGACTGCTGCTGAGGAGAGCTGGACGGCTGGGGTACACTAAGCAGCTCTTTCTGTTAAAGCTTGAGGAGGTGGATCTCACTGGATTAACATCCTTTTATATGTCTGTAATGCAGGCATGGAAAATGTACACATTCAAAAGGGAAAAAACTGAGAGTCTGGGAATGTGGATCTTTGAGGAACCGTTATTTTTTAATGATTTTATAAGGACTCCAACTTTGCAGTCAGCCAGTCTCCGGGCCAGTTTCAGAGAGGCAGGCTGCACAAAACTGGGTCACCTGGTAAGACTGACCCTGGACGCCCTCAAAGAAAGGACCAATATCACCTCCAGCCGGGTGGTTGAAAGAGTGGTGGAGGAAGTCTTTGCTGCACTTCCAGTAAAACTTGTGACATTTCTAAACATTGAGAATCTGTGTGAGCAGTGGAGTGAAGAGGGCGAATACAGCTTCCCATCTTTGTCTGTTACCCCAGATGTCGGGGAGTGGCAGGAAAGAGGAGGTGGACTGCTGTCCTTTAGTACTCCTGTTCTGGGAAAGTTCCAGGATGCAGGGAAAAAGGCACTCTATCAGTCCTGTGTTAAGGTCCTACATCTTCGTGGTCTGTCGGGAGTGAAAGAGTCGAGGTGGATCGAGTTTTTTGGCCCGGAGGTTTCCCCGAAAGGCAGCTGGCGGTCCCTGTACAAGCTGCCTGTTGAGAAGAGAACAGCAGATCTCCAGTGGAGAGTTGTGCATGGGGTTATAGCCACGAACAGATACAGAGCGCACATTGATCCAGGGGTGGGAGAGGAGTGTTTGTTTTGTTCACTAACTGAAACTTTGTCTCATCTGTTTGTTGAGTGTCCCAGGCTCTCACTCTTGTTTGTCCTTATGAAAAGCTTGTTTGAAGCTCTCGGGGAGGATTTCTCTTATGCATTGTTTGTTTTTGGGCCAAAGTATTCTGCAAAGAAAAAGACTGTACATACACTGATGAACTTTTTATCTGGCTCGGCTAAGTTGGCCATTTGGCTTACACGCAAGAACCGAGCTCAGGGTACTGGCTGTGTGGAACCGGTGCTGGTTCTGGAGGGACTTTTGAAGGCCAGACTAAAGGTAGAATTTGCCTATTATCAAATGATGGACAATGTGCAAGACTTTAATAGTGTATGGGCTGTGGAAGAAGCTTTGTGCTCTGTGGGTGGGGATGGAGAGCTGATTATTCATTTTTGATGCAGTAAATGTTGTTTTTGTTGATGTTGTGATTTTTGTTGCACTTGTTTTGTTTTATTTTTTTATTTATTTATTTATTTCCTTCTCTTGATCTGAGTGATGATGTGACAGTGTTATAATTTTCTCCTGGTAGTGGTAAAATAAAAGGTATTTTGAAAACCCTCTCCTCTCCCCTCCTCTCCTCCCCTTCCCTCCTCTCCTCTCCTCTCCTCTCCTCTCCTCTCCTGCAGGTATGTTCTGTACATCCACCTGGTGATCAATGACATGATCCTGCTGACCATCACAGTGATGATACAGATCCTGACCTACACCGGCCCCATGGCCGTGGCGCCCTGCTGCATCTTACTCACCGTCGCACTCACTACCAACAAGTACGTATGCAATCAGGACGCTGCTGTGTTTCCTCAAAGACTGAAGATCTATAGCACACTCATTAAAGGGGCAATATGTGACTCTGACACCTAGTGTTTAAAACGGGTACTGCAGTCTAAATTCAAAACATTCAAGACAGCTGTCTCCCCCCTCCCCCTCCTCTTCTAGCCTTCTCAATGTAAACAATAGGATATGGAGCGAGACTGTTTGGAGATGTTCCCTTCATGACATCACAAAGGGCAGTAGTCCCTCCCCCAGACCGAGTACACCCAAGCCCTTCCAGAGAGGGGGCGTGGTCAGACACAGCTCATTTACATATTTAAAGGTACAGACACAGAAACAGCCTGTTCTGAGCAGGGCTGAAATAGAGGAGTTTATAGACATGATCAAATACAGGATCAGAGTGGATTTAGAACAAGAAACTTCACACACATGTTTTGAGGAGCTCTGAGACTTATTTAAACTGAAGAGGAAGAGGAGGATATATGACCTTTGACCTTTGAACTTTGTTGTGTTGTTATTTTTTTCTCTGGATTCAGGAACAGCCCTCTGAACCTCGCCGGCATGGCGGTGGAGCGTTACATCGCCGTCTGCTGTCCTCTTCATCACGCTCAGATCTGCACGGTGCAGCGAGCCCACGCTCTCATCGCCGCGATCTGGGTCACCTCTTTAATCCCCGCCCTCTCTGACATCATCATCATCCTCGCCGCAAAGCCGCTCTCTGTGTTCTCGCGGCGCATCATCTGTCACGTGAGCTACGTATACGACACGTCGCACCACAAAGCCAAAACGCTGTGGACACAGGTGAAGCGTTTTTATTCCTCCTTCTCCGCTCTTCCCCTTCCACTTCTCTTTCTCCTACTTTCAATTCCTCTCCTGTCTCCTTCCCGGTCTCCCTCCTTCCTCTTCTTCCCTGTGTCCTTTCTTCTTCTCCTCCTCTCTCCTCTCCTCTCCCCTCCCCTCCCTCCTCTCTTCTCCCCTCCTCTCCTCTCCTCTCCCCTCCCCTCCCCTCCTCTCTTCTCCCCTCCTCTCCTCTCCCCTCCCCTCCTCTCCTCTCCGTTTCCGTTTCCGTTTCCGGTTTCCGGTTTCCGGTGAGTGTGAGTGTGAGTGTGAGTGTCGGTGGTGGTGTTGCGAGTGGCGCGGAGATTGAATTGTTTGCTATCCTTTCTACTGTTTTCAAAGTGCATGATCAGGTCAGTTTGTTTTCATATTTGTATTGAGTGTTTTGGCTGTGTAAGACAGATCGTTGGAGGGGTTGGAGGGAGGAATGGCGTCTGCTGAGACGCCACCTCCGACTCTCCGACAGGGAGTTCGGATAGTCCCTCCGAACGGTACTGTCACCGTGGAGGAGGTTCTGTTAGCTGCAGGTGAACAGGTAGGCCATGAGAAACTCTTGTATGCATCCCGAATGAACAAGGCTGTGGTTGTTTTTCTGAAGAGTGAGCCTCTTGTGTATCAGCTGATTGAGAGTGGTGTGTTCATTAGGGATTTGTTTGTGCAGGTTTCCCCGTTGTCGGTTCCCTCTACGCGGATCACCGTATCCGGTGTTCCGCCGTTTATTTCTAACAACTTGTTAGAGAACGAACTCCGCAGGTTTGGGAAGTTTGCGAGTGGTTTCAAAACTGTGAGTCTAGGGTGTAAAGATCCCAAACTGAAACATGTTCAATCTTTGCGGCGTCAGGTGTTCATGTTTTTGGATTCGCCCACACAGACTCTGGAGGTTTCCTTTAGAGTGAAAACACGGTGACGCTTCTTATATGGTGTATGCGAGCTCGGGACACTGAAGTGTTTTGAGTGTGGTGATGTGGGACACAAACGTTTTGCGTGTCCGCACAGACAGCAGGAGGCGGCTAGTGCTGCCGCTGACGGGGCGGCTCTGTTAGTGTGGCGCATGTGGCGGGGGCCGCGTCCGCGCCCGGCCGGGCGGGGGCCGCGTCCGCGCCCGTGCTGGGGCGGAGGCCGCGTCCGCGTCCGTGCCTGGGACGGGGGCCGCGTCCGCGCCCGTGCTGGGCGGGGGCGCGTCGCGTCCGCGCCTGGGGCGGAGGCCGCGTCCGTGCCTGGGGGAGGCCGCGTCCGCGCTGCGCCTTGTGCTGAGGCGTGGCTGAGGTAGAAGGTGGCTTCGACCAGCTCTCAGGCTACAGAAAAATCACAGACTGTAGATAATGATAAAACTGAAGATTCCACAAGTTCTGCAGTTGTAGATGTTTCATTGAAGGAAGGTAAGACAGTGTGTTGTAGCCAGGCATCATGTGAAGGAGAGGACATGGATGAAGATTATGAGTCAGACAATGCATCCATTGCTGATTTGCCAAATAGTGGCTCTGGTCTTTATTCTTTAGAGTCAATCAATCAATTTATGGATGAAACGTACAACAAATCAGTAAAAATCAGTGACTACTTTAGTGATACTGAAAAAGTTCATAAAGTCAGTCAGCATACTGAAAAGACAGGTTGGGTTTGACCTCCTGGACGCGAAAAAAACGGTTCCGTCTTAAAAAGCACATCACCGCACTGAGGAAAGTTGGACGTAAGAGTGTGAAGAAGACAAAGAAATGATCATGCATCACAAGGTGTTTTTTCTTCTTCTACGCTCCCTGTTTGTGTCTACTTGTCTGTTTTTCCTCTCTGATCTTTCTATGAGGAGTCTTAAGATAGGATCTCTTAACATTAATGGTGGGAGAGACAGACAGAAAGGGGCCTTATCTCTGAGATCTCAACTCAGAAAAACATTGATATCTTGTTTTTACAAGAGACTCATACCACACCATCAGATGAGACAGATTGGGGTTTATGGTGGGAGGGCTCTAACTACCTTAGCATGGCACCAACCTTAGTGCAGGAGTAGCCATTTGTTTAGAGCATCTGCAAATGTAAAGATCGTCTCTTGTGCTGAAATTGTAAAGGGAAGGCTTTTAATTGTAAGAGCAGAAATAGAGGACACTGGTTTTTCTGCTTCAC